AGGACAGTCAAGAACACAAGAAGGACACCAGAAACTATCTGAAATGAAGAAGGAATTCGAAATTAAACTCAGTAATATTACTAGAGATCGTTTGATATGATGACAGTGTAAGCCCAAGCACCATGCCTGTTTGTAAACAATGAACATCACAATCACCGAAATGAAATGGGAACGAAGGACAATTGTGGCTATGGGGGTGTCTTTGTTTAAGACGTGTGCTAGAAAGTCTATAAAAGACTGTTTTCAAACTTGATTTCAAACACCGCTAACTATGAATTAATTATAAATAGGACTTTCGTCCTTATAGTAAGATAATTTAACAGTACTTTTCTGAATTATCTGGAAAAAGAGAGGGTGCTGAATTCTGGCTTTTTATTGTTCTGCTATTCTGCTGTTAATAAAATAAATTGGCTCCGAATGAAAGAAGGGCAACGCTCATAGCACATGTAAGAACTAGAACTTTTCAGACAAGTTTCGGAATCGCCCTACGAATCACCTATACAATCTTAATATCAGCGCTGCGATGCAGAACATTGTTCGCTGCGTTTGCCACGCTGCCAATATCTTAAGATTAGCTCCACGAGACAATTGCCATCAGAGTGGTACCTCTATTGAGACTCATACAGACCCTAACGCCCCCTCCTATTCCCACCAATTTCGAAGAATATTCTTAGTGGGCTCTTCTTTCCGACTTGATAAGCATAGTAAGACAAAGTATTAAAGTGGTGGAATTTTTCTTTACACCATGTTCTTCGTTATTTAGCACCTGTACTTTTCAACACTATGTTTATACATTGCTCAGCAATAATTTCTATGTCTTATAAATATAATGTTATAGAAGTGAAAGCTTTGATATGAGCACTGTTTCCAGATTCTCTTATCAACAGATTTGCTTTCAGTCGGTGCTCAAAAACGGGAAAAGTCGAACGAGGTAAACCTCCCCTCTGTAGTATAAACAGCTTCCGAAGCGTAGTGTGCATTTGGGGTTTGTCCCAAAACTTAGGAGAAGTCTAAGATTTATCCTAAGCTTGTCGACTATATTCTTTCAATGTGTTTAGAACCGAGTATTACACCTTGACAAGAAAATACAAGATTTCGAAAGGTTATAAAGCGCTGCAACCTTGTTTCTTTCCAAAAGTATTACCAGTGCTAAATAAATTCGATTTCGCTATACATACTTATTCTGAATAAAAATTACCATAACATAATGGACATTCTAAAAACAGCTCAGATGGCCATATGTATACCTATCATATCACCCTGATTGCAGTACCACTGCCCTTCCGAGGGGATGTGTGCGACCGAATCTGCAGTAAACGAGATGGATGGGAACGACGTAAGAAACAAAAGAAGCGCAACGAATGGGAGGTATGTAGAGAAGCTCATTTAAAACTGAAAATTACAAAACGACGCTGACATCTAGCCTTTCTCTAATTCAGTGAAGTGAGTGCCTTCACGTACCAGTTCAACAGAATGCACAATGCAAATGAAACAATAGATTTCAAGGTGACATGCACTGATACTCGCTCCGGAGGACATGGCGCAAAAGGAGGTCGCAGTCATTAAACAATTCCTTTTTTCACAATGTTTACTTTTTTATTCTCTGCCTTCTATTATTTTAGAACTAGCTGAGAGACAAGCGAAACGAAGGACCGGCATGGTGTGGTGGTGAACGCGTTACTCCCTGAAAGGACAATAAAGTGTTCGTTCCCCACCGCAGACACTTGCGGTCCGGAGTTTTGCAAATATCTCAGCAATCTTGTGGCTGAATTCCTCTTTTATTAAATACGTAGTAAAGAGTTGTAAAGAAGTTGCTCAGCACATCTATGATTGCTGAAATTGATTTATCCTACTATGAAAACAATAGGAGCAGTCGGCCGGACCGCTTTACTCTATCGCGAGTTTTCATCTAAGACTTTATACGAAAGAAAACGAAACAACAACAAATAAAGAACGTCATCCATCACATTGCACCTTTAGTGAGCATTTAGGATACGTTCTGAAAAGCTAAAAAGATAACACTTAACACAGATACCCTACCAAACTGTTATATCAAACGCTATAACAACGTAACACTAAGAACAGAACAAATTTGGAACATTTAGGTGTTCTAAACTTTCGATAAACATTGGCAACGTAAGCGAAAATCCAACAAAAATCCTGATGGAAACCGTGTTTGAAGCTTGAAATTAATATTATAAAACACTCTGTGTCTCCACCAAACATGGACGACGATTGCGAGGAAAAGAAACGAATGGCAAATACGCTGAGGTCCGCAGAATTTGTGAGGACGGACCACCCAAGCATCCAAATAAATGTCCGTGTCTCCAAATGTACTTTCGACACATGAAAAATCCTTGGATAAAAATAATCCTTGGCGCATACAAATGAATCTTATTCTTGATGTGAAGGCAGACGACTTAATAAAACTACTTCTAAGATGAAATGGTTGTCTGAAGCTTGATATATCGTAATAAAGCGCTAAATAATACAATCGTGAGCTTATTTCCTCAACGATCGCCTAAGAACATTCCACCAATATTTCCTCACGTAGTTGTAGGATGTAAATATGTAGCGTTATGATGCATCGAGATATTACAACATTTCCAGCTCAGTTCACCGCTCGAATAGCCATTTTCAGGCTGTTTTCGAATACTTCAAAACAAAGAACTACCAAGTTAAAAGTTGTAATTTGTGAATAGAGTGCTACTGATTGCCCAAATTCTTATTTTTTCCACGTTTCCAGTAGCGCAAAAAGTGCTTGAGGTTAACTGAGGAGTATCGCCTGAGAGTACAATGTCCGTTGAACCTACTCATACAACGTTTACAGTAATGAGAAGATCGTATGAAGGTGAGCATATTCTGTATGTATCTTTCATGATATAAATAGGGTAAAATCTCTCAAATCTACTCAGGAATGTCAACAAAAATCATGACTAAGCTCATGCAAGAGCTGCAACCGCCTTCTCAGCAGCATCGGAAAGATCGTTAGCAGTGATGATCGGCAATCCAGAATTCTGCAGAATACGCCGTGCTTCGCCAGCATTTGTTCCTACAAAATAAGTCATGAGTATTCCTTCACTGATAAGCTAACACAAGGTTGATAAAAATGATTTTCTGGTTAAAGTTTCGACGGCTTCGTCTTTCTCAGAGCCGATGCTCCGAGTTTATGGTCCACAGTCGATCGCACTCTTGATGCGGTGTCCTCGTCGTCGTATCGACTCTGAGTAAGATAAAATGTCGAAACGTTAGCCGAACAAACCTTTTCCATCGAACTTCTGCTATCTTGTAAAGAAAGAATACATATTGATTAGTTACGACGGGGTTAAAGGAAAGCCAGTTTTTCAAATGTGCTAGAGCTGATAATGATACCGACTACTGAAAGATGGATTGTCCATTCATTGAGAAACAAATTATTATCAGATGGCAATCAGTATCATCAGCAAATGTCCTGTATAAAAGAGTATCGTTAGGTGAAATTGGATAAATAGAGTGGTGTTTCACTGAAGAAGATTTGACTCAACGATACGACAACGAGAACCCAAATAGAGCATACGAACGATTATGGACCGTCGACCTAAATCGTCGGTTCTCAAGGAGGCGAAAACGTCGAGACGCTAGCCGAATAAACCTCTTTTGTCAATCTCGTGTTGATTTATCAACGGAAGAATACATATTGACCAACCACGCTGTTTGAGGAAGGCTTGTTTTTCAAGTAACACGAGTCTACGCTAAGAATGTACAACAAAATTCCTATAAATTTATTTCTGACATGACTCAACATCAGATAGTATGAGTTCATCTTTGACCTACTGACTATCTTCTTCAATTTGTTAGCTGCTCCTTACTGCTGATGCAAAAACGAATCTGATTCCCATATCGATTCACAAGGATGTCTTTTCCCAGACGACGATTTGGGAACGCCCCATTAGGATTAATTCAAGACTGAAAGCAAAAAAAACCAAATAAACAATATAAAACTTTTCCATTGATAAAAGCGCATGTCTTGTTATAACTGCCGCTTCCCATTAATTTTAGAGTTTTGCAAATACCTCAGGATCATTGTAGTTGTATTTCACATTGTACTTTCATTTCACTATGAAATAAGAATAGGCAGTAGATAAAAAGTATTTACATCGTGATTTATGCCACAGCTTTAGCCTAACTGGGGTCAATGCCGATTTGTGCTTCCCAGATCAATCCCTCTGACGGGTAATTGCTGATAGCGCCTATAAAACACGGCCGAGAGAAAGACGAAACGAAGGATCAGCTTGGTGTGCCGGTGAACACGTTAGCCCCAGAAAAGGTAATAGCGACGTTCAATCCTCGACGCAAAAAGCTGCAGTCCGGAGTTTTAAAAATATCTCAGCATTATTGTAACTGTCAATAAGGTTTGTAAATAAAGCAGTCAGTCAAAAACATAAATGGCTTATTCCTATTATAATCGAAGTGCATGACTCAACCATTAACGTGAATTTAACATTATTTTATTTCACGAGACACGATATCACATGTTGTACATTCCCTGCATTCGATTCGTTTCCTCACATCCATATTCCATTACCGTCTTCGAATTTTTGGAGGATAGTCCAAGCCCTCAGGAAGGCGAAATTTGGCGTCCCACGCCGGGACAAGCCAGTGCACTTTGAGCACAATGAACGGCATTACTACGACTGCTCATTAGCCCATCCCGCGTTTTCCTTTGGCAAGTAAAATTAGACATGAGCTATGTACATTTTTTCGTTCCCATAAATTAGGTCCATAGGGCCTTCATTCTCGAAAATTTAGGTGCGTGCACACAACTGTTCCTCCAACTAGCCACTCAGACATGCTTGGTTAATCCATAAATTGTTCACTCTGTCAATATGGAAGAAAAAAACATTTCACGGTCTCAATATCCTAGGGTATTTAGCTCATCTTGATTGTGTTTCTATGGAGAGACTAAGTTTTCCAGCACACCTCCAGCAAGACACTAAGTTTTGCAACAACTATGAGTGCTTCTAAACAGTTCTAGCCTGTGAACTATCGAGAATATTGGTTGAAATATCTGCTTTTCTCTGATTCAGCCTTGAAATAGATTTTATGGCAGTGGACAGGCACAGACAAACAAGCCACCTATAAGATGTTGTAAAAATCTACGAATGGTTATCAAACTACAGTAAATAATACGTCAACGAAGGTGAGTGCCCTTATGGAACCTGTTTTGAAGTGTAGTAAAACAAAAACAAATTAAACCGTGAAAATTGAAGGACTCTAATCAGTTACCTTCCAAACGGACCACAAGTGGCACTTCTAGACTAATTTTCCGACATGCAGACACTACTCCATTGGCAATCGTTGCGCAATTAACAATACCTCCAAAAATATTCACCAATACGCACTTCGCCTATAAAGTCTCACAATATCGGAAACTACCGTACCCCAACTAAGAAACTGTGAGGTCGCAAGAAATAATCTTAGACTGATTCTTAGATTGCGAATATGGACATCACTCACCCGTATATCACTTGTAATAATTCGGAAAGCATGGAAAACTTGTTCTTCTGTTACTGAGCCTCCTACGTCAAGAAAATTTGCTGGTTCACCTCCTTTTAACTTAATGATATCCATCGTTGCCATAGCTAGACCAGCACCATTAACTAGAATAACAAATGATCACAAGCACGCTCGATATAAAATCATCTTTCCCAACTCATTTTTTCTTAGAACAATGCGGTTCATTTCGAAAGTGTTGCAGAGTGAATTCTGAGAAAGTAAACTCACCTAAACATGCAATGTTGCCCTCCATCCCAATATAGTTCAAGCGATGCTTGTGTGCTTCTAATTCTCGCGAATCCTTAACAATCTATAGCATAAGTTCAAACGATCAGAATAATTCCAACGGTTGACTTCCTATTAATGTCAGCATTGTTCAATAACTCAGTGTTTTCTTCTTCAGTAAACACAGGTTTGTTAATAACGAGATTTATTCAGTAGTGGCCGACGTTACTGTGGTTTCCCTTTGCTCAGAGCCTGGTGAGGTCAAATCGACAACCAATCTGCTCAGCCAGATATTCTTATAGCCCAGTCAGAAAAAACTCAATACCTAAACTCCATCCGCATAGTAAACAGTTTATTTTAAACAACGCCGCTTTGTTCTTTATAAGTCTTTCAATATTATTAGAGAACAGCGGCACAGTCTTAAATGGCTGAGGAATGTGCCTGGCTCAGGTCGGAAAAAATCACCCTGCGGTACGACGCTAGGTTACGCGTGACCACAAAACACTCCTCCTTGCGGCTCATTTTTGGACTTCCGGAATTAATCCAAAATGCTTCGAGAGTTTTATGCAGTGGTATTTTCGATTCCTGTGCGAAGATAGTGATTTCTACTTCAAAATTTTATCCGCCGTGTTTCTGTGTCCTACCTATGCACGCTTTATAGGGGGTATTGGTACTAATTTTAAATTTACCTTAAGTAGGATCGCAGGCAGTGCTTCGAGACCGACTCCATTACAAAGTTAGACTATATAAATTACATAAGAAGGAGGAACAAGATGTAGGGGCATTACCACTACTTCGTTTTCGTCTAGCGTTCTTTAGGAAGCAAGACACCAACTGCCAAAACATCGATTTCCGCATATTTTCGAACAAAAGGTTCAAAATCATTAAGTATAAGCGCAAGAAAAGGTTTAGTTCCAATCTCACAGTAGCCCAAAAATGTGGTATGCGATAGATTCTAGAACTAATGTGATCAAAAACTGTTAGACTATCAATCTGTGGTAGGGTAGGAGAGTTTATAGTAATCCCTCGTCAGTTAAATGCTAAAATAATGGGAAAACGTCTTGGAGACGTTTCCGTTTATCCGCCATCATTTGAAATGGAATTCAAAAGTCAATCCGGAAAACGGAACGTAGTATGGGTCAAAGTGGCAAAGAGAGCAAGTTTAAAACCACCAGTTATTTCGTAACTTAAAATTGAATTACCAGCATTTTCCGTGTCTCATTGATGATCTCGCGTCCACCAACAATTAGTGATGTAGAAGGGCCCATAAATAGAATAGCACGGTTTTTATATTTAACCCTCATCCAGTTACTCAAACAGAAGCCAGCCTAGCTCACGAACGCTCAAATGTTCCCGAATTATCTGCGCAGCGCGCGTGTGCTGTGGAGTTCTTCGATATTACCTCCCTTCGTACTAACGTTTTAAATGACCCCTAATACAAGTCATCCGCAAGCTCCATATAGAACACAAAGAAACAATAAACAAATATGACCAATCGATTCAGCAGTCCATGGTTCTCACAAAATAGTGTCTAAACTGCGGAATTTCTGATGTTCCAGGAAATATTACGCGTGAATGAGAGGGTTTGCTATGGGACAGCGACAAGCCTCCGATTTTGAAAGTTCAAATCAGCCTGTTTAAAAATGCTCACATCACCAAATGTCATCGAAAGCCAAGTAACTAAAACGTACTGGTTCATTACTTCTCTTCTCACCCTTCACAAACAAAATGGGCGCTTATGCGAAACATGTTTCGAGCAGCAATCAGTGCGTGCACAGAAAGAGAGCAGGAGGAATCCCTGAAATATGCGCGACAAATAGTCGTTTCCAGTGGCTACGAAAGTTTAGCTGCTTGGGATTCCTGTAAAGGAAAAACCGTATCCCGAAACCGTAATTTTAGAGAGGATAAAGTCCCGTTTATCCTGATCTATATGTCCCATATAATAAATGCAGCTATAAAAAGTTGCTTAAGAAGAGCTGATCAAGAGAATTCAGTAACAGTAATTGAAATACCATCGAACACTCTAAGGCGCGTGCTTGTTCGTAACCGCCTGGTTGATCGCCTACCAACAACGCAAAATTGCATGTCCTAACGATAGAGGTGGTAATTGCACGAACTGGAATACGGTATATCTTAAGCTATAGTACCTACATCTGTTGTAAACCGGCCATAGACGAATACTTACATACTTGATACTGGAAAGGCCCGTCCTCACTAGTGCAGACCCCAACATAATCACCACTTTTCGGAGGTTTCCTGGTTAAGACATTGTGATCCCTTGGAATGCCGAGGACAGCCCGGCCAAAGTCTGCCCCAGGTCGTCACCACGACAAGCAGTCGCAGCCCTTGTGGATCAGAGGGAGGTTTGCCACCATGCGACTTTGATATTAGGACGGTGGTGGTCCCTGCTATCGGTTTACTCATAACTAGGCATCCTGATGAAAACGCCGAACTCCTTCTCAGCTTGGGAGATCCTGGGGGAACGAATCCCCATCCCCCCGCCCTGCTGGACATCGCAGCCTGACACCCAGGAACACTTCCCAGTCACGGTGAGACGGTAAACCGTTGGGAGGGATGGACGAATATACTGGCGAAACGTGTAGACCACTGTGCGCTCATGTAAAAGGGCAGCCAGCTGGGAAACTTGAAACCAAAGGAAATACTCCACAAAGTATACAAAGGGCACGAAGACATAACGGAGAGAATTTTGAAGTAAAGGTCATTATTAACCTCGTATACGAATCTAAAATTTCAGCGCGCAAAACTCTTGACGCGCTTTTGGTAAGTTTCAGAAATCCAAAAACAATCTGTAGGGATGAGTGCTTTGTCATCATTCGTGACCGCGCACGAAAATTCAAGCTAATTTTTCGACCTAACCTTAGTACTTTTCTCAGCCATGTAAAACTCTTTCGTGATCTCTGTCAGTCAACTGGAAGACTTACGAAGAACAAAACGATAGGTGTTTAAAGGAAGCATTTCATTATGCGAATGAGAAACTTATGCATTAAGGTTTGTCTCCTGAGGTTATGAAAGTGTATGGTTGAATATATTGCATGTCAATTTGACCTTTCTGGGCTTTGAAGAAGGTGAAACCGCCGAAAGGTTAGCCAGTGTTGGAAACATGTTGTTTACCAACCTCATATAGACAAGAGTAATGTTAGCTCTACGATGTTCCCTCTCATAAATGTTCCGAAGGCAGGTTAGGAGAGTAAAAGTGACATTTTGCAAAGAAGTTCTTCTTCCACTTTTCATGTAGTCGGCAATACCGAAATAATTTTGTTAGCGTAAGATTCACCTGTTCAGACCAATCTTCCATAGCGAAAACTTCTTTTTGTCGAAACGCAGCACTATCGTCAAAATTCATTTTCGCATCAATGCAAAACACTGGAATTCCAAAGCAAATGTTGTTTTCTGGTAAAAGAGGGTAGAATGCTCTAAAACTATCTAAGCTCACCGCGACCATCTTCAGTTTCTGCGAAAGGGTTGATCTCAATCTGAGTTGCATCCACAGCAATGAACAGATCGTACAACCGTTTGATTTCCTTTGCAGCCTAATCATATAAAGTTGAATTTTTATAACATCTTCCAAAACTATCTTTAAAGATAGACAATTTGTCGTTCTATATGCCAAATTGTCGAAGATAACGTGGGCTGGATACGTGACGTGCATAAACGACAACCGATGGACAAGAGCCGTTAGCGAGTGGATTTCTATGAGTTTTTTATACCTTGTGTCAGCTCAGTAATGCGGAAAACTATGTTAGACTTTAATTGGAGATCTTGCGCGAGTTCCACTGCGATAGCATATAACATTAGTAGTGCAACCATGGTTCCAGTTGAACCGGTATCTTCTTGCTTATCATCGACTACAAAATTTTGCAGATAAACAGTTTAAATCGGCTCTTGGAAAGCACTTAACTTGGTTCAAAGAGAGTTATGACCTCCATAGAAGTCATACCATTTCCGGGAGTTTATTTTGGCACACAGAACTTTATTGCTATGCTTCTTGTGGCCAGTCAATAGCTTATCTTACACAAATAAAAGCGACCGCCGTCTTTAGTAATCTATTCTCCACACATAATAAATTACAAAAACCTTTTAGCAAAAGTTCATGTAACGGTAAGTCGATTTTTTACTTGCTGCCTACTAGAATTTTTAGGCAGGGTATTATGTGAAGTATAACCACAATGATGTTGAGATATTTGCAAAACTCCGGACCGCAGTTGTCTGCGGTGGGGAACGTACACGCTATTATCCTTTCCGGGGGATAATGCGTTCACCCCAACACCATGCGCGGTCCCTCGTTTCACCTGTCTCTCAGCTAGTTTTCTATCTACCAGTGTCACCAGCACCGTCAGCAGAATTAATCTGGGCCACAAATCAGCATTGAAATCAATTAAGCTATGGCTGTAATTGAAATTACAATGTTAACTTTTTATTTGCTGCCTACTACGATTTTTTTACGGCAGGATATCATAAGAAGTATAACCACAATAATGCTGAGACGTTTTTAGAACTCCGGATAGCATGGGAAGGGAAATAGCACGTTCGTTAACAACCGCAGACACCTGCGGTCTGGAGTTTTGCAAATATCTCAGTATCATTGTGGTACGTTGTTTACTAATTGGCTTTTATTTCACTTCAACTCGTTATGATGAACCACGGTTGTCGTACGGAATGAGCGGGCCTGAAATATATACCGCAATGTGGTTATATGGTGTCCCATATCAACCTAAAGTTATTACTATGCATTCTGCTACGACGCTCTCTGCTATAATTCTGTAATGTTCACAATCGTTTAAGTCCTAGTTGTCCAAAAATTAAGGTCTTGAACCAGCAAGCTGGTATCGATATTGAATTAGGAGTCGTCGCTTAAGTATTAAAAAGCAAACGTCCTATGTACGATACGGTTTTCCTTCTGCATGAAAATGTTTATGAATATGCGGAGAAAATGACTCGTCTGACAATCGAACAGTTTCGTTGGAAAGATCTGAGTTATCTTTCCGGACTATGGTGCACCCATGAACCACCCCAACATGAAAATTAGATTGGTTACTTCACTGTTACCTATGATGAAAGATATTTGTGGTGACTGTAACTATGTTGTTGATTGAAAAAGTCTACCAATAAAGAGATGAACTATTGAGAAGTTTGCAAAGAGTCGTTCTACAAATTAAAACTTACGTAAATGTATAACTACAACAGTAACAAACTACTGTACACCCTTATACAATTTTATTCAAAAAAGTCCCACTTTTAATGGCTTCAGTATGGAATAATGTAATAATTCCTAACTGTAAGCCAAAAAACGAGAACAGAAATAAACAAAAACTTTAACAATTCTCAAGCAACTCACTGTTGTGGCAAGGTGTCCATTAAACTTTAAATTCTTAGCAATCATCAGTGTCTGAACATCAGTGATTCCGACGTTAATATCAACAGGCACCTAAAAATGATGAAAAATGATGTTTATGAACTTCTGAAATCCAAGGGTTCACAAGAGGCTAAGAGTTCACCAGTGATGCCAATATTGCTATCAATAGGTTTTTTCAACGTCTTTGCATTTAAGTGATTTCGTTATAAAAGTATTAACAACCTTAAAAATCAAATCCGGTGTAACAGCAGCCACTTCTTCAATATCTACTCCTCCAGCAGGAGAAACGACAACTACAGGGCCATTTGATTCTTGATCCATAAGAACGGCCACGTAAGTCTCACGTTTAATTGGTACTCCTTCGGCAATCATCACCTATGAATAAAGCGTAAAAGGTGAATCGTTCGATGTTGAAAATTCCTAAGAGATACTTCATGAATGGCTTAGAGAGTCTAGCTATAACCAAAAATTTCATCAGCAACAGATTCATGTTGGAAATATAGAACTCTAACACTATTGTATACAAACCTTCATTAAACTCGCTATGAATGATCAATGTACCTTCTTTCATTGGTAATGTGAGGTTGTTAGCACACATTTATTCGGAGCTAATGTTTCAACGCCTTCGTCTTCATCAGAGCCGATGATCCGAGACGTTGGTTCAAAACCGTTCACCTTCTCGACATGGTCTCCTCGTCGTCGTGTTGAGTTGGATCTTCTTCCGTGAGCCACGGTTTGAATGAGGCAACCTCACTCATAAACTCTCTTTTATACAATACAGTTGTTGCTGATATGCCTGCAGCGGTTGGCATATAAAACTCTAACTTAATCTAGTTGCAGTGCAGCAGTGATGCATTGCAAAATGCAGGTTACTTGTTTGACATTTTTTTCCCTAAATAACCAACTTTATGGATTCAGTTGTCTCTACGATGTTCAATGAAATCGAGGACATGGCGCATCCCTATGGGATAGAAAAACGGCGAACGTTTCGTCGTCTTATTTTCTCCTTTCGCTTGTTCCCACAAATTACTCTATACCTGGATACTTGGATCACCCGTATTCACTGGTTGTGCAAGCCCTGGCATAATTACCACTTTTTCGGAGTTTTGCTGGTTTAGTCATTGTGGTTCCCTGTAGCCCTGATGTTAGCTTAACCAAAGTTTACCCCGGGTCGTCAGTACCATAGGCAGTCGCCGTCCCTGTGGATAAGAGGGGATTTTTCACCATCCTACTAGCTTGAAACCAGGATCCTGGTATTGGTTTACTCTTATCTAGGCTTCCTGATGGAAACACTGTACTCTTTCTCAGCTGGGAGGGATGAGATCTCCCACTTTAAATCGCATCCCGACACCAAGGAACACTAAATTACTCTATTGGCAACATATTCGTTTTCAAGGATGGCACATAGATGTAACGTCTTCTCAGCTGGATGTATTAAAGTCTTAGGTTTTCTTACTTGAGATAAGTATTATTCAAGATAGGGAAAAATTCCGGTGTTCAGTTACAATTGGGTCTACAACCTCATTTAAACTTAATTAGTGATAAATGTCCTACCTTTTTGACCTTGACCCCATCTCTGGATGTCTGCTTTGTGACAAGATTTTTACCCACCATTTCACCCACAGATTTGAGTGCTTCAGAACGACTGAAATAGCGCTCCCACTTTACAAATGCACAAAAAAGATTGAACAACAGACAACCTAAAATTCACTTCGTTGTTATAAAAACTCCACTAAAATCCGATCTTCCGTTGATGAAACGGCCTTTACCGCGACCGCCTGCCAGGATTTGCGCTTTCACGACGTATTCGATGTTTCCGTCACATATAAATGAAATAAATATTCTAATATGTTGCGGAAACGTTCAATGCTTGCAAATTTTTTAAAAAACAGACTTTATTTCAATCTACCGCCCATTATTTAACCAAAGGTTTCTGAAATAACCTACTAATTCTATTATTACGACCAATAAAAACAACGTCAACATCAACGCTTACTACCCAGCTCAAGCCGATTTCAACTCATACATCTGTAAGGACTGGCAGACATTAAATGATCTGCACTCAACTTGGGTGAAAAGACTCCTTCTTTCAACTTACAACAATATCGCAGCTGATAGTCGGCTGTGATAGGAAGAAGAAGCAGTCCAACCTACCGATATTTCGTGCAAACCTTTATCGACTATTTAGCTCCGCAAGTACTTCACTTAGTGAAAAATACTCGAGCGCTTTCGAAAATTAGGCATTGCCCTGTAAGTTTCTAAAAAACTTAACGGGAGATAAACGCACCTAAGACTTTCATCTTCTCCTCAGCTTCTTGCTTGCTCGCCACCACAATGAACTTCTGCACACTGCAGCCATGTCTGTTGAGCAATTCTTTACTCTGATGTTCTTGCAAATTGAGAAAGCGTATCTGGCGTGCCTGAAAAAGCAAATACTTTTGTAAACCACACGGAAACTTGGATACTTGGACGACCGGTCCTTACTGGTTGTACGGGTTCCCAGCATATTCTTCATTTTTTGGAGTTTTGCTAGTTTAGCTACTGTGTTTCTCTGGAGTACTAAGATCAGCCTGGCCAAAGCCTGCCCCAGGTCGTCACCACCACAGGTAGTCGCTGCCTTTGTGGATCAGAGTGAGATTTGCCACCATGCGACTAGTTTAACACCAGGACAGTAGTGGATCCTGGTACTGGTTAACTCTCATCTAGACTTCTCGACGGAAACACCGGACTGTTCAGCTTGGGAGACTCTGACGGGAGTGAACGCTGAACATCGCAGCCCCACATCCAGGAACACCTCTCAGCCACGATAAGGCAGTTGGGAAGTATGTGAACTAAAGCTGAATGTATTGTTAAATTTTTTAGGAAATGACTGTAACAGCTCAATTTGTTCAAAAGAAACTTCCTTCCTCCAAAAGTAAACGGTTCATCAATTAAAATTTGTTCAGTGATTGTAAAAATAACAGCTCTTTCAAATATTTATTATAAGCATTGTTCAGAAATTAATGCAGGATTTAAGCTCGTACTCTTTGGAGTGGCATTTCTCAACACGGAATAGACTTTATTGACTCAAATAAAAACCATTGGGACTTATAGATATTTGTCTAGAATATGCACACTTGCTTATTATTGTGCTGTGCATCCCGCGGTTGCTCGACCTTCAGATCTTTAGGTGGTCCGAAGTAGCCGAGATTCAAGTTGTAGCGAGTTCTTCTGCGAGTTGTCGAACAGTTGTACGTGTACTTGCTTACAAAAACGCCTTCATTTCATGGTATTGAATGCCTGGACGTCAACGACCCTATCACTTTCAACGGCGAAGTCCCCGCGTTAAAGTTCTTGAAGCCAACGTCGCACTGTGCCCTCGATAGCATCTCATTGGCCCCATACCTCATTAGTATTTCGGAGCACCTGTGCTCCTCACGTCTGACTCTAAATTCGAAGAAGTAAACTTATCGAAATTGTTGCTTCCGTATCGCAATTTCGAAACTTTCAAATTTGTCAAAAAACACTTCGTATTGTACTTAAATTATATATTGTGTAAGCGTAAAGCATCAGCTTCTTATTGTCACATAACAGTGAATTATTCGGAAGAAGAATCATTGTATAAATATGTAAAAGATCGACTAACAAAAAGAGTATTCGTTCCCAAACCTTTTTATTTCACGCCATCCGCCTTTCACACATACTGTACAGATTACAGCACTTCTTCAATCCGATTCAGTTCTTCGATCCCATCATCCACTAAGGTCTTCCGATTTCGTACATGTGGTTTCGGTTCCTGCTTGAGAAATCTCCTTTCATCATGAATGTCGTTGAATGTTAATCGAGTAGATTCTCCCTGGAATCCCGAGATAGTTGGGCTAGAGTGTTCCCACTTGGACTACAGAGAGCAAACTTTTTCCACACATGTACGGTACCAATTTCTCCACACCGGAAGAATTCGAGGGTTAGTGAGGCCGTTACGGGGTCGAAACAGCGACGTGCTCGTGATGATTTGCATCACTACCACTGTGCTACCTGCTCCTTAATTGTAAACAATTCACCGCTAGGAAAAATACTATGAACAATTTGTTACAAAACGTTTTCAAATTCGGATTTCTCATTTTATACGTTTTCGACATATCGCACAATGTACTATTAATAGCAGAATAACAAATGAAAATCAATGGGAATCGTTTAAGTCGTCACAAAAGATAAAGACATAATATGCCGTTACCTACTCTACAAGGTGACACTGCATTTGACAATGCCGTCAAGAACAAATATCTTAAACGCACGAAAGGTGACCCCTAAGTAACTTGCTGATAAGAAGATAAAAAGGTACCGTGCCATTTTTTTGGATTGAGAGTTGTTTTAAAATGTATTTGCAGTAGAACAATTTTCAAATCGACCATCATTTAACCTCGTTAGTAAAATAACCAACATGTTTTTTAATTGTTGAGCTTACACGAGGTCAATAGTAATGTTTATTTCGGCTAGCGTTTCAACGTCTTCGTCTTCATCAGAGTCGATGATCCGAGTCGACGATCCATAGTTGTTCTTCATCTCAATGTGATGTCCTTGTAATCGCACCGAGACGGATTGTATTTACAGAATTTCGAGAAAACATACTTACACAGACGGCTCGTTCAAGAGTTTTCAGGCTCCTCACATTTTTCCACTGGTTTCCGTCTTAAACGATTGTCGTCCATAAATTCAAGCTTTTCCGAGCATGGCAACTAAGAATCTCATTATGTGATCAGTAAACCATTTCGAACTATAAGTGCAGCTACTTGACGAGATCCACTAACATTTCCCACATTCTACGGGTAATCATAACTTTTCTGCATACTGTTGAAGTTGACTCTACAGTCCTTATTCATTAGCGTCAGTTGCTTCCATTATAAGACAGGCGCATCTATGTAACGTTTTTCGTGCATTTCCTGAGTATTAAAGACTAGACAACTTTTGGAAATCTAAAATTCTCACTATCGCTAGATGTTGTGCGTGCTAGCCAACTTCCACAAGATGTCCTTCAAGCGCTGAAATGTTCACAAAATTTCCAACATGTTTCATCCTACGTCTTTATTGCACGGTTAAGCGCTGAAAAGGCAATGGGATCAAAACTATGAATACAGCTTTGGGTTATTCTCATGATAGCTAGCTTCGCTGAGAGTTTTCATTCACTTCGTTATTCGTATTTACAGATCATCATAGGCTTATGTAGGACGTGGTCCTTATGATCACTGTATGATTCAATTCGATGTAGTTAACTTCACACCTTAGGTTTTTCTACGCTCCATTTTCTTACAAATTATGCGTATTCCAGTACTACTCTTCTTTTATTGATCCCTTCAAGCATCGCTTCTACTGCACTGGCACTCCTCAATAAGACAGCGATTGCCAACAAAACAGAGGTATGAAAGATTACATATTTGCATCAATGCGTATGCCCTTTTCTTAGCAACCGAGCGACTTCATTGTCCATTGCAACTCCGTAGTGAAGAGCTCTGTGTTAGGATCTCTTAGAGAAGGCCACGACTAATTGAAGAATCCAAAGCTTCAAGTTCACTATTTTGCCACAACGAGCAATCCTAGTCTGTTATTCAGCAAAGACGAGGACTAATATTCGAACCATGCTGAAAACTCTACTCGCCATGCACAACGTGCTCGAAGGATATTTTCCAGAATATGGCACGGTTCAAACCTTGTTATAGAGAAAGTTACCCCAACTGTCGAAAAAACTTGAGGGCCAAACATATAAGGACGGTCACCTAATGAGAAAAATCAACAACAGATGGAAGAGAAAGAACGGAAAGTGGAGGAGAATGGACTTCAACCGGATGCAGACTCTCTCTAGCACGACCAAATATAAGACAGATGGAGGCATTTAGAACCAAATTAAACAAGTTGTACTTGTAGCTCCAAATGCGGGATAGTACTCGCACATGTTGGTATGCTCGTCGCCTTCCACGAAAAGGGACGACATTGGTGAGGAAACGAAGTGAATGGAACATGTGACAGTGCTTGCATTCTTTGTGGTGACGACCCGTCCAGGTAACTACATAAGAATGGTGTCGATGACCTAAGTGGAGCGTTTAGCATCACATATTCAAACAGCTGTCCCTACTACTGGGTTTCCTACTGCCCCTATCTTCCACCTCTTTTTTCTTAACATGACCCTTCTCCACATCTATATAGATCCCAATACTTGCATTCGATTCGCTTTCCTCGCATCCGACACAATGATCTTTGAACACTTGGCGCATTATTTCAGTTGATACTTAAGGGTTTTGTATTCTCCATAAATGTCGTAGAATGCTGATCCAGACAATTCTCATTGCAATCTTGGAGATAGCCGGGTCAGTCGCCCTACTTGGATTGAAGGAAAGCGCTGGGGAGGCGGTCGAAGTAGCGTCCTCGCTTGCTGATCAATGGCATTACTAACCACTGCACTACCTCCCTTCGCCCATTTTATAAAATTTAATGGTTCTTCGCATGCGCGTTTAAACAATCGGTTTACCCCAAACTAGTTGCTATCGAAGACCCGTAGACTGCGACAAACCTATTGCTTGACCATCATTCTTAACTTCATTTTTTGCAACGAACCAACAAAATTCACCTTCTCAACACTCTTCAATCAGCAGCACAAAGCATTCCACATTGCTTTCAGCATCATATGCGGCATTTCTGTCACTCCTTCTAAGTTTTAATGAATAAACTTTCAAAAATCAAATTCGTCCCTAAGATTCTTTGTAGTGAGCCTAACTTGCAAAATCCAATTCTGACCTGTAATTGATCACTTCTCCAGTAAAATCCTTATTCCAAATAAGGAAAAATACATTATAAGACAAGTGTATAAGGCATAGAAATAGACATAGACTAGACAAAGAAAACAGTAATAAATTAATAGAAAGTCTGCGCAATTCTCTATGCTTCTAAAAGCATTACCATCTCCTGTGTGTGTGACGGAAAAAAATCTTGCCCACCATTTAGAAAGCATGCAGTCGGAATCCAGTAGTTGGCTCCCGAACATGTCAAGTATACGTTAGTACTTTCCAAAGTAAAACTTGCATTTAGAGGATATGAGAAAAGACCACCATCTACAGACCAAAAAATGAACCACACAGGCATAAAAGGATAAAGCTCTCTCCGTCGATCTATCCCTCATGGATGCGCCATGCATTCGACTTCATTAAGCATCGTTTGCGGTGGCTGAGTGCACATCCGGCCTTTACAATGATTCGCAACGGCCTAAGAATGTATTCAGCCAGTGCTCCAACCCTCTCAGACAAGTATGCTACCAATTTGCCGAGCCCACAGTGATGGAAGGCTTGGTGAGCCTTGGGCGCTGGGAACGATGCCATGTGTATTCCAGGGCAAGTCCATCCACTGCGCTACACGCGCCCACAGTGGTAAAGATAATGGAAACTGAAGATGAATCGAGTTTGACCTTAATGGACCTCTCATCGACAATGAACAAGAAGTTCAAGATACTGAAGACAATATGGAACCTTCTGTGTTTGCTACTTGATAATCTCATTGTCTCAGAAATAAAAACCAAAACTGTGAATTTTAAAGCATGAAGTAGCGAACCTTCAGGAGATAGGAGAAACCTTCATGAATAAGTCCAAATTATAAGAATTGCAGGTTGCACAATAAACTATTTTTTGGTACAACAGTTAGAAAACTTGTGTGCCGTAGCGTTAATAATAGTTCGAAGCCTTCAGTGTTTCTAAAAGCAGGATGAACTGCATGTCGATAAATGCACGCTTTGTGGAAGTTCCATAAACAACAGTTCTAGTGATGTCCGATAAGCTAAATGGTATACTTCTCTGTGCAACTACATCAGCAACATCTCAGTAGTCTACTCACCACAAACATGCAAAGACAGTTTCTTATACAATGCTATGTGTAAAAAATAGCTCTTCTCAAACGATTCCATGTACAGTTGCAGTCAGATAGGACGCGTATGGCGAAGTAGTCAGAGGCGCTCCGCAACACACGCGATCGATCTCAGCGCTCCTGGTCCACCAAGCCCTGCATCCCTCCGGGGTCAGCAAATTGGAACCAGACCTGTCTGGGAGGATAGGACCACTGGCTCGATACATCAGTAGGCCACTGCGAATCATTGTAAGGGCCAGATATGCATTCGATCAGAGATTAATCAACGCCGAGAGCCTTGTCTTTTACTCTTTTAAGTTAAACTGAATGGACAATGTAAAACTGAAATGCAGTCCCTATGCGATAAAACAAACAGGTGACAAGAAAATAAGTCCTACATATACGATGCGTTCTAGCTAAACATGCACTATCGAGCTTTCAACGTGATATCTATTCGATCTTCTACATTCAGCAAAAAGGTCTCTAAGAGAAGTAAGAATAACTAAATCATGAAAACTTCCCACCTTTGCAAATAGTGTTTTCAATAACAATTTCCTCACACCGGAAATCATAACCTAAACCGTTTACTCAAAATAAGTGCTCAACAAGTTTGGTATTAATCGCTAAAGAGAAAACAGCACATTGAAAGTCACGTTGTCCTAATACGATCCAGGTAGGCGACCAGTTATATGGTATCTTTGATTTCTAGTACTACATCTCAGCGTAAGTAGTCAGGAATATTAGCCATCAACGAAAATACAAACAGAGTGAACCGAGCAATTTATCGTTTTGAAAGGAATTTGAACGGTAACAGCACTGTAAAACATTCAGCTATAATTTAGACGTACACAATCGTCAACTACAGTAAAACAATTAAATTAACTTTAAAACCACTCTATTCCAAAAATCGAACAAATGTTCTAGGTGTGGCTACGAAACTAAAAAAAATTCTTTAAATAAGTAATCATAGTTATCAATATAGTTCGTCAGAAAATGCCCTCTAATAACAATGACATGGCGCGAGCATTTTGCCCTCTGAGAAACAAAGCACATTTAGGATATTAGCACAATAATGGAAATTAAGGGGTACAAAGAGGTTATTGGGAAACTAGTTGCTTCTGGATTAACGGAAGAATATAGGCAGAAGCAGTGAACAGCAATTGTATATGTAACATTAAAAGCAACGCTAAAGGTGAGGTGTTGTTTTCGTAGCTGAATAGGATTAAAAAGTATAAGGGTATATAGTAAGAAATGGATGAGGAAAAAAATATTTCTCCTTTACTCTACCGCATAGAAAGTAAGTGTATTAGTTTCCACTAAAAAGATAGAAGAGAAATCAATTTGTGTTAAACCGTTGGCCCATCATAGTAAAACTTACCACAGTGAAGTATCAACCAAAATAGATGCTTTGAACAACCACCAAGTCTACGACTGTAAGAACGTGAACGTTTGCATGCACGTGCAACACACGAGTACAACTACAATTGGTAGATTTAGTTTGTCCAATTACTTGAAAACTACAAGACTAGTATTTTCTTTTGGTCGTAACAGGTATGTATCGTATACTAAGCGAATTGGGGAAAACATTTCTGGAATTCCATGTGGATCGAAAGGAACCAGTTACAGCTTCATCTTCTCAGCAACGGCAGCAATAAGCGCAGCACCACGAGCACTACCTTCGTCGGCAGGGACCAATTCCCACTAAATATGTTCTTTTTTTGCACAGAAATAAGAAATATGAGCCCATAAGGCAGATTAGTTCTTGCAGATTTTGGGCACGCAAAGAAATTTCGGCTGCTCTTTGACATTTATTTGTCATGATCAACTTGTTACACAGCTCATTTACCATACTTTGTGGCGATATCTTGACCAAAAAACCAAATCACTCTATTATAAAAAGACATGCACTTCCGGAATGCGCCCTACGCATGAGAAGTTAATTGTGTTCAAAAACTCTGTTTGAAACGCTTTTTAATTGAGATGATAGAAGCACCTACAGAATAGTGTGCTAAAAATAGAAAAAAAGGTAGAAATCAGAGCATACCTCAGTAGATAACGGCGCGAGATCTGTGAGCTTTTCTTCTAACAGCTTATGGTAAATTGGATGAAATTGAATCAATGCACCGCCCACACCAATCTTTACTTTAGAGATATCCAAATGACGAAGCAATGCACTGATTGCTGAAAAACAAGGCACGAATTTTAAAGCGTGTAGAACACGGATTTTTCTATTGTCTCGCATTCATTTTCCTAAGTCCTTGTTCAGCTCCGACACCTCTATATATTAGAACCACAAAACAAATGAAAGCAAGAGATGTTAAACCAACCAGCTGCGACAATGGCTGCACTGCGGTTTGACACAACAAAGCAAACATCACGGATGATATGATAATCACCCGAACCATGCATCGGCACATCTAGCTCATCACATATACGCCGACAGGCTTTATAGCTGTTTTCTTCCTCACTGTAATACGTGGTCATGCTTTTAAATTACGAAACACCAACGTAAAAAAGTAACCATTGCTTCAAGCATAAACTCAAAAAGAAAATGTTCTAGAATTTAAGGATCATACGCTAATATTTCGCTTATATATTTTGTTGGGAAACTGTCGGTCTCATCCAACTTTTCGCAAGGATGACCATCGAACAACACTCTGTCGAGTACGAGTTGCGAGAGAATGCGGCGCACCAGCTCACCCAAATAGAGCGCACCCGTCAACTTGTCGATACTGAAAACATTTCTAATCATACAAAGTAAGAAAAAGATTTACAAATGTAAAGAGAATCTATCATTCAAGGAAGTAAAGGACATTATCGGACCAACATTTGCTTTCCTTTGTGAACAGAAGCTTCATCAATCTCTTTATCGAATTGGGTAAGAATAGAATCCAGCTCTCCCTGGAAATTAAGAATGACATTTACTGCTTCTTAAAAGATTTTTAAATTGTGGTTAAAGGGTTGAAGAACGACCAAACCACGAATCTTTTAGAACCTGATAAATACCGCTTGTTTTACACGGCTAATGCATTTTGACTTCCCTGATAATGCTAGCGTTTTTCGAATACATCCCAGTTGTTCTCCTGTTCAGTAAATAGCCATTTGGCACAATAGTATGATTTCAACTCACCTATTTAGAAAGTCACTTCAAGTTTTCACTATCCCACTCTTAGGTATCACACCATCATGATAAGAACTTAAACAGTCCGCACTACCACCGTTCGCGTGGTGACTCGGAAGTTGGCCAATAAACGACCATTTTTCCATGCCGCGGAGCTCTGCTTTCGGAGTACCCTGGTGTGCTCGGCTCGCTCTAAGACTCGCGGGGCACAGTATCTACCTTTTACAGGTTTCGTCAAGGATTCTGAACAACGGGTCGACGACCCTTCCGCTTTTGATGTCCCGAGGAAACCCGTTGCTCACGAGGTATACAGCACGACGTCATTAATTTTTGATTGCTAACATAGGGCAGAGCTCTGGATCCTTCCATCATTTGAATAACACGAAGTACTCCAAGCATCCTCCTTTCGACTACGAGTCCTATAAGGCCTACTGGTCATACCTCGTGCTTACGTAGCGACCAGGTTTCCAACGCATACATAAGGGCACGAAAAATCTTGAAGTCGAAAATGGGACCATGGAGTTAAGGGTTCCTTGCCCTCTTCGTTACGTCCTCGATGGGCTTCAAAAATCCCCCAGCCGGTCGATTTCTGCTGCAAACACTGGAGATAAGGCATTCAATGTGTTGATTTTCTGATCCAGATACACGTAGCTGGAACATTTGGAGATATTCATTCTATTGAGTGTGAATAAGCCAAACGAAACCGGGACATCCTTCATGAACACCGCTTTTGTAAAATTTAGTCGAAGACGAATCCTTCCACAGATGTTATCAAACCCTCGACTTTACCTCCCATGTTGTTTCACCCCAGTGTCCACAATGATGTTCTCGAGGGTGAGGCGAATAACTTAGGAAAGATTATATTGCCTTGGCTAACAACTCTTTTGACGTCGACATCGTTGTAGAATGGTGACATTTTGCTTGTGAAATCTTTATACAGGTCACGAACAAACGTTATTTCCTGGGTAGGGACTCCCTGGCTGTCCACGGCTTCCCTATCTGCTTCTATCTCAACTGAGTCAAAAGCCTTCCTCAAATCGATGAAAGTGAGACAGAGCGGTTTTTTGAACTCTCCCGATATTTCAATGAACCTCGTTATCATATGGATGTGGTCCATCGTATTAAATCCTTTTTGAAATCCCGCTTGCTTACTTCACTGTCTTTCGTTCAGTGCTTTGTCAATCCTGTTTAGGATGAGTAAAGTAAATAGTTTGTAGAGGACAGACAGTAAGCAGATTGGGCGATAGTTGCCTGTCTCGTAGACGACACTTTTCTTGAACAATAACGAAATCTTGCTGGTCTTCCACTGAAGAAGAAACTGCATTACGTCAGATGTTTAGGTCTCATCATTTGTCAGAAGTGTTGTTAATTCTCTACCGACGAAATAGCGCGTCGGACTGCAGAACAGGTAGGACGCATAACCATTTTCCTTTATTTCGTATGAAGAGAGGTCGGCAGAGCTATTGAAGAGATCCAAGTGGTAATCGAGAATGATTTACATCATTTCCACTCTGGAAAGTGCAACTGTTCCGCCTGGGCAACGGAATGCAATCATTTTACTCTTGTAATCGGCAACGCTTCCCTCGGCTTTGCAAATGCTCTCCCAAGTGTTTGCAGCTTCAACCATAACTCTTCCCTTCAGGATTTTCATTTACTGCCTTTCCGTAATGTTTCGCAAGTTCAGACGTGTGTTTGCGCTTCTTTGTTGCAGGTTTGATTCTACGCTGGCACATTGCCTGGAGTATTTCTGAGGATAGATGCTTTTTGGCGACTTCAAACCCTCAGCTTTTATACTGCCAGGTCAAGATGTTGAATGAATCTGAATAACTTAATTTATGGTCGTTTTGTTATTTCGTTTTTTGAACTTAGGGAACTCCTTTCCTTCTCACTAGAAATAGAAACTTAAGCAAAGAAAACGACAGCTTCATTCCAGGTAGGATTTTGGGACCACGGCGACTTAGGCTAAGCAAAACTTCCGATTTACTATGATGTAGTCTATTTCGTTATGGTACACTCCACTGGGACAAGTAAGCATGAATGGACATGGTCCCTGTGGTAAACTCAGATACCCACCTCCTCATTTCATACCAATTCGTGAATCCTAATGTAGTGTTCCTCACACGTTCTTCTGAATCCAACCTTAGCCATCAAATCTGCAATGATGATCTTAAAGAATGTATGGTCTTCTCTATGGAACTTTCCCAAATCCATTTAGAATACTCTGACTTCGTCTTCGATATAGCCTTATTTCGGTGCGTAGACAACGAAGATTGTCAAAGTTGGTATGGGTCTATATCGCTTCAGTCATAAACGTCCGATTCGGATTGTTATTTGTTCGAATGAAACGTTGATTACGGCCAAGCTCGTAGTGACAAGAACGCCGACTCCTCTATTAACGCACGTTCGGAGGAAGAGTTCTTTCCGGTATCAGAGCTGTATTACCAACTTCTTTTTGTCTCACTCAGTCCGATAACGCTGTACGTCATCCTTCTTGCGTTTCTGATTAGGTCCCCTATGGAGGATGGAAGTGAGCGTGCATTATGTGTACAGATCGTCACCATAATCCTTCCAAACTTCCCCATCCTAAAATAACTCCAACATTTTGCAGGACTCTCCGTACTCGACCTACCTAATGCTCCCATATGGGCAGCTTTTTCACCATGAAGATGACGCCCCATTATTATCCTATGTTCACCGTTTGAGACTCACGTTCAACATACCTGGCGCTGAAAGTGGTAGCTAGATAAACTCACAGGTAGCTTATCAGTTTCTTCCAAGGTAGACGTGGAGCTTATTTCTTGTAGGCGACTCTTGGCTCTCCCACGTAATTCCCAACCGCTTGTAGGCTGTTGACCGAATTGGCTCGTAAAATACAGTCCGCATAAACGAGAGCACACCCACCCACGCATGTACATCTCTTCGTAAAGATAGGAGATATGTGCAAAAATAGCACAGCAATAAAACGAAGTCCATCTCTCTATCCAGCTGAATCTCAATGAAGCAGAGAGTTGCTTTTGCTCCATGATTAACACCTTATTCGCAACCTGGGGGCATGCCACGCTTCCTCGAGACTAACCAGCAGGAAATCGCTCTGTGAGAGAGATCCATGGATAGTCGGCCCTAATGGATTAAAAATTGACCGTCAACTGACTCGAGTTAGTGTCAGTAAATTAAAAAAAAAACCAAGAATAAGTGAAATTTCTCCGCACATGCTATGAATCAAATACGATTCATATCGTTCAACCTGCTCTGAAAGGCGCTGAAGCCCACTTTTGTGTTCTCGCCCCACAATCCCGTTCTATCACCTATTTCTCGCTGATTCTTGTTGTTTCTCACATTCTATGTATCATCACCCGAATATTTTAATTCCAAATATTTCTGGCATCTATTCTTCTGTTGCATGTGATAGAAAAATTTCCGATCATCCAATCAACTCTAGTGTCAGTCTTAGTCATTCTGCTTTGCGACATAGATTGAGTTCATTTTGTAGTCCTCACACATTTTTTGTAATCACCTAATTCACAGTAAAACTACAACTGATGGCAATTTCTAGGAAAAAAAATCGATTTATAACTTCAATGATGCTGAGATATTTGCAAAACTCCGGACCGCAGGTGTATGCGGTGGGGAACGCTATTGTCATTACCGGGGAGTAGCGCACTTCACCACCACACCATCCGGGTCCTTCGTTTTGCCTGTCTCTCAGCTAGTTCTATCGATCTTTCGCCATCAGCAATCTATTTATGGTCAAAAGAGCAAGAAAATGAAACCGAAGATGACCATAATAAGTTCTGGTGAGAATGGCCAAATATACTGCCCATCACAGCCACTGGGTCCTTCGATCACAACAATTTTTGGAGGAACAACAGCTCCTGCTTTAATTTAAAAAAAAATACATTGTTACGGAACATTTCGGACTGACACTTAAGATCTTACTGTAAAGCAGAACAAGAGATGCAGACAAGAAAAGGACAAGTCGTGAGAGCAAAAGAGTGAGAGCTGAAGAGAAGGAAATATTCATTGGTCTACACTTTGAGATGGAAAATGTAGACTGTCAAGGCCGAGATGTAATAGTGCTGGAATTACGGAATCGTAGTGTCTGTTATTCAAGTGGGCACACTTGGAGTACGGGAAGAATGGATCCCGTATAATTATGCTGTAGGAGGACTTGTTGGACGAAAGACAAATCTATTTGCCGGAAATCGTTATATGAGTGTTTCGACAGCTGAAGAGAGATCTACTCTGAAGTGAAAAACATACTATAGGTAGTTGCAAGAGGAATAGAAAAGGATGTCATAAGGACTGTTGAAAACACATTAGCATCGGTGATATATAATAATGTTAAAATCAGTGAATGTGCAATAAATTTTTAAATTACAATAAATTTTAAATGTCTGTGTGCAATGATTATAACATCAGCGAAAGGTTACCAGAGTAACAATTGAATATCTGCAACGTTTCCAAAGATACACTTCGTTTTGGAAGCACATGAATGAAACAATTTGAGAGCACCTAGCTTTCCTATAACCATCAACTATGGTGGGCCACGTTATCTTGACTAAAGGGTCTCAAGGAAAAGAGAACTTCCGGGTATAACTACAGCACGGACATTTTAATAGCTTTATATAATATATCACAGGTAAAACCCAAACTTTTTTTGGTGTTACAAGTATAGAGAATATCTTTCCTCTAAAGATATTTCTAAAGACATTTGTAGCAGGAAAGCTATCAACTGACTACAGAAAACATGACAAAAAGCTGTGTGGCACAACGGAGCGCTAAAAGAAAGTGGGTCACATGTGATCCATTTTAATGAAATCTCTAATGTCCTCTTCTCGATGCAAGTTTCCACGTACGAATCATATGTGACTTATGATTGCGAACATGTTAAGAGAATTATTAGTGAAGTGGATGAAGACGAAGTTTCCCCTTCATTGCTCAATTTTATTACGTCATGGTTAAAACGTTTTGTAACTCCCACGACCGACTTTCTATTAACCTCGGCATTGAACAAGTAATTCTTCGTATTTTTGTTGAGCAAACGCGAGGTGTTATTATTCTTTATTCACGAATGAGCTGACGTTTCGGCGGATTTCGCCTTCCTCAGAGCCTGGAAAGGTCAAGTTGACAGCAATCTACTTGGCCAGATGCCTCCATAACCAAACAAAGAAACTCTAAACCAAGATTTCAATCACACTGAACACAGCTTTGCACACTCACCGCTTTCTATGAGGTCTCCACTAAGTATGTCACGTAGAGACCAACCGCACAGAAATCACATGGAAGTATAAAGTGCCCCACTCATCAAAATAGCAGTCTTATATACTGCCCTACATCACGCGTGATCTTACGAACACCCAGATGTTTCTGGATCGTCTACGTACTGCGCAGCTCAACAGCGCGTACGTGATGGAGTCCTTCGACGTTACCGCCCTTTATACAAACGTGTCGAATGACTCCGCAATGCAAGCGATATTCGAACTCCTTACACAACACGAAGGAGAAATAAACATGTATGGCTTCAAGATAGAGCAGTAGATGGCACTCTTAAAAGAATGCTTGAGCTGCTCAATCTTCAGATGGTCCGGAAAGTACTACGCTCAAATAAGAGGGTTGGCAATGGGACAACGACTGGCTCCAAGCCTTGCCATTGCATTTATGTCTAAAGTGGAAGCACCGGTGACTGATCTCGGGCCGCTACTCTACTGTAGGTATGTAGACGACTGCTTTGTCCTTTGCTCAACACAGGAGGAAATGGACAAATGCTTTGAGTTGTTAAACACACAGTCAGAGTACATCAAGTTCACCCGAGAAAAACTGAAAGAAAAATGGCTTCCATTCCTGAACGTGCAAATTCACCTGTCGGAGAATGCCTACATTACAAAATGGTACCGAAAGCCAAGTAGTAAAAACATTTTGGTTCATTACCTCTCCTCTCACCCCTCTCACACGAAAAGGGCGCTTATAAGAAACATGTTTCGAACGGCAACCAACGTGTGTACGGGAAGAGAACAGAGAGAGGA